GTAGCAGTTCGCACAAAAATGACCTCAGTGGCAACTCCTTCAAGCTCTGGCTTAGTCCGAATTCAGGAAATAGACCATTGAGTCTTCTAAGAATCTAAGGCACCTGCAGGTTGACTCTGGGGATGTCAGCCACTCTCTCCCAGACTGAAATATGTCAACAACTATTGGATGGATTGCCATGGAATTTGGTGCATCATGTCCCCCTCAGGATGAATTGTGATCACTTTGTTAAACCTTTTACTTTTGCTCTAGCGCCATCATCAGGTTTCAATCTGTCTAATACGTTGGTTTATAACCCCTGGATAGCTGTTTCCATTCCCATCATCTGATTAAATGATCCAAAGTGAAAACATTGATACGAATCATCATCCTTACGATATGCCTTTATTTTTGAATTTCCCATGGCACAGTGTCATCATTACGTTCCAAGCCCTTCTCCTTTCTAAATATTTGAATGGTTTAAACATGAGACATATGTTTTTAGTAAACAGCAGGAGGTCTATTTGTTATCCACTTCATTAAAGATAATAGATTCATGTTTATTTAAATGACTGCAAGAGTCCAATAATAAAACATATTATATTAGAGTTGCTGTTTAGAAGTGGAAACCAGGACAGGTTACATCATACCTCCATCTGGAAGTTGAAAGCTAGGTTATCCAAGAGCTGACTCCTCGCTGCACACCTGGGCGATCACAGCTTTTAACCTTTGCTGACACTAATCCAGTTCAGTGATGGATATTGAACTCCAGCAATTTTCCATCTTAATAATCCCATTGTCCTAACTTCCATCAATCAATCAATCAATCACACAAGGATTAAATCAACTCTTCTCAATGCCATCCCCATGATGCTGCAGGTGTGGACAGGAATATAATATTAGAAGGAAAAAGGTGAATGAAGAGTACCGTTGAAAAGCCCTCTGGGTGTAAATCATTAATAACTGCTTCTGTATTCTCTACTGTGATCTCCAGGGAGTGATAGAGGCCAGTCTCTGAACATAAAGCTACTGATACGCTTGTGAAACTACAGCCAGACAGCAACACTAAGGTGCTGGAGCTCTGAGGGGCAACTTCCATGTGAGGGTCTCCAACTTCTGAGCAGCTGAAGATGAATCACCGAGGCAAGGCAAGTCAAGTTTATTTATATAGCACCTTTCAACACAAGGCATTTACAAAAATGAAAGACATTAAGAGCATTAAGAAACATACTATGAAATGAAATTTAAAAACACTCATTTAAAAGCAAGGATATCAAATGGCATTTAAAAACACTCATTTAAAAGCAAAGATAATGAAACATGAATAACAAAGGTACATGAATTAAAGTTAGAGTGCAGTGTGAGACACCCACATCTGAGATGTTTAGGTCTGACTCTCAATCCTTGCTAACTTTGTGGCAGAAATAGTTTTCTTTGACCTCACTTTCTTTCTACTTTCTTATTTCAAGTGTTTCATGCTAAACGAACCCCCCTTGTGAACATTCTAATCTGCAACCCAATATTCAGAAAATTCAACAGATCCTGGCCATATTTGTATAGCAAATACAATTAATTTGCTCCCAGACATTCATGTGACTTGCTAGTTTTGGACCCCATCTGTAACCCACACTAAGGCAATGCGGATGCCCTGGGTTTCTTCTCTTCGCTGACGTCAGGCAACATTCCTCAGCTGGTGACGAACCACTGCTCTCCTCGGAGTTCGGCCACCATAAACATCGGTTTTCCATGCCGGCAGGGGGCTGCGAATGAGTTACCGGCCAGGTGGTACGTCCTCCCCCCGGCAGCCTGCCCTCAGAGCGCGGGGTGAGCAGGTAAGAAGCTTGCTGCAAACCTCCTGCTGGGAAACACATTACTGTTGGAGTGGCTGCATGGACACACTTGTGAAGTACTCAGTGGGATCTATTTTTTTTTCGTGGAAATGCTGGAAAAAGTGCTGGAAAAAAGGATTGATGTAGCTGTGGACAGCTCGAGGTTATTTTGAGAGAATAATGTTTGTGTCTCGCATATTTAGCATGCAAATACTTTTATTGTATTTTCCTAACTCAAGGCTGGATTTTTTTCATGCACAGCAGGTGGATTCTTGCCATATGTCATACAAATCTACATTGGCAAGCTTCAATTGTGTCTGTGTCAAATCAGGGTTAAGGTTATAGAATACAAACAGAAAGTCAACCACTTTAAAGAAACAAGGGGGTTAATAGGGGCCCAAAGGTTATTATTGCCCTCTGGCCATCAATCCAGTTAATCCGCCCCTGTAAGCATATAAGGAAGAGTATAAAACATGTAAAATGAAAAGCATACTATATTCAAATCATTTTACAGTGCCAGGCACATACGCTGTTACCTTCTCTACCACCTTGCTACTGTACAAGCTCAGGGAAGTTTTGAAAATGGTTCCCAGAGACTTCAAAAGAAATGTCCGACTCGCCTCTCGGTATATCAAAGTCAAATTAAAATATTTTACCTGAGAGATCCCTGCTGTGATTCTGGGGCAGAAGGGTCAAATGGATATTGAGTGTTTAACTGGCACTCTGGGGTTTTGTGAAATATTCAGAAAGGCCAGCAGAAGATGGATGTCTCCTTATGCCCCCCCTCTGGTGTTGCAGCAGGCGGGACAAAAGGGAGTGATAGAGAGGTTACAACTGGCAAGAATTTTAAACATCCATTGGCCCCCGGGAACTCCACAGACTTACAGCTCAATACAGATCTGTTGGATAGAGAGGGGAAATAAGGGCAAGGAGGAGAGGGAGAGGAAATGGTGGATCGGGGAGGGGGGAGGGAGAGGAAGGAGGGCAAATATATTAGAAGCAACAAAACAAATATTCATTGATTCACAATTTCAATCTCCTTTCTATGTCGCCTCCCTGAGAGCACCATGGGGGATTCATCATAACCCCACTGAAACACTGCAGTGTTCTCCCAGTGTCTCTCCTGCTTAAATTAACATCCATATTATGCATATGGTAAACACAATTATGTGTGTGCAATAAGGAGTGTATAAAAAGTAAGAGGAAGCTAACATTAAGGATGTGCTTTACAGCCCTACAGACTTTTTATTGTGTGGATTTTGTGTCTGTGTTCCTGTGTTGACATCAGCAAATGTTGAAATTAAGCAATTATAGACATCGATGAGAACTAGGTTTGCCACTTTCTGAATCACATCCCCTGTGTGTAGCTGCAGTGTTCAGATCAGAGACTCAGACAGAGAAGCACTGCTGCCCTCCAGAGGACTGAGGGGTACCAGCGCCCAACAGCCAGATGTGAATAAAATTACTAAAATATATGGTGTTGTATTTTGGCTGGCTTTATCAGGGTTATTTGTTTTTGTGCACCCACAATCTGTTTGCCTTGATTTGAGTGTTTACTGCCTTTAAGTACATTTTGTGGACATGATGTTTGGTGAAATGGAGAGAAAAAATGTACTAATTTACTTACTGTAGTGAAAGAATTGATGATTGATATGTCAGATGTATCATGACTGATCTAAAATGACATGAAGGAAATCCAAGAATCTTTGTTGGATGTCGGACTTTATGAAAACTCGTTAAAAAACTTGTTAAAAAACAAATCCATTTGTTACTGACGGTCAGTGTTGTTGTTAATGAACTGAACATTGGCACCAGCATTTCAGCTTTTTCTCACGCATGTAATGACATGATTTGATGCGATTGATTTAGTGAATGACAGGCTAACACTAGACAGGTGGTAGAAAAAATATTACATTCCGAAAAACATGTTGTCGAGTAGATGGTGTACATGTAATTGGCTCCTACAGATGAGTATCAAATCACATTATTTGCCATGTCCTATCATCAAAAGAATCCATTATTGTCATCTGTTAATGAGGAGGAGGAACGATTTTTTAAAAGCTGTTGGTATGTTTCCATACTTCATTTGTTGCAGCTGACCACAGTATGGGGTCATGACAAATAGTGGCTGCTCAATCAAGCCACCTATAAACCAATACTAAGTGAAGCTGCTGAAAATATTATCTATTTGTGGGCTGTTCTGAGTGTACTAGGTGCTGTAATTACTAGAACATCCACATATAAAGCTCTGGAATACGTCGCCTCTGCATCCATTAGCACACTATTCACAAGCCTGTTACCTAAAAGAGCTGCAGAAAAGATATACTGTTTTGCACACGGCTAGGAAAAGATGAAACGTTGGCGATGGTGTCTGACGTTGATTGTAATATAAAAACACAGGTTACTAAAATATGCTCATCAAGGGATGTATGTACATACAGTATGATGATGTAACGTCAGCTCCATTTATATCAGTTGCTACAGTACATGTCTACCATCCTAAATATATTCGAATGCATTTTTTTAAACATCAGATTTCATTAGTTTGTGTGACACTGTAATGATTAAACATTAAACCAAAATTCAGGATATCATTCAGTCATGTATATTTTCTCTGCAACTTTTAATATTTTTTATGAATTACTCATGAAGCTTTTAACAGTATTGATAATGTCATGGTGCGATGGTCTCTTAAAGCAGGACACTAATACTGTATATATCACCAAATACATTCCCCAGTCGATACAACATAAATACAATTATTTTTGTATTACAACTTTTCTGAAATGTTATGTTTAAGTCTTCATTTTAGAATGTGATCATTTGTGTAATTTCAAGAAAAAACGTTTAAATGGTGGACAAATTAAACTATTGTCATTAAGGCATATAAGAGTCAAAGGTTTTTCACTTTCTTGATCAGTAATACTGTAAACAGCCATGCAAAAATAAAATGTTCATATATTTAGGAATAAAATGTTATTGAAACGCAGAATATTTCCTGCCGTCTCAAACATCGTCTGGCCTGTCCCCTCCAGTGAAAACAAGACACACACAAATGAATGTGGACAACGCATTTCTAAAAAATATCAAATTTAATTTGGTTATAAAAGTTGTATTTTTTCACATGCACACCCACACATAATGAATCACCATAAATACTGTCCAATGATTTCTCTTTGTCTTTTTTTTTTCTTTTTTTAACCTTTGATTCACAAAGCAAGCACATACGGTGGACCGATACATCTGATTCAAAGGACACTATGGAGAATGCAGTCTGTTACAGGGAGAGGAACTCTCAGTGCACTAACAAAAAGGCTGTCGTAAAATCAAGTAGAAACATTAAGAAATTATCTACAAATGGATTAAAAGTACAAAAGAGCTACAGCGTTCAGAGACACTACACCCATTCACGAGAGAATGATTTTGGTATTGGGACACCGTGTTACAGGAATGTGTGACTTTGTGAAAGAGAAACTATACACAACAAGCTTTGGAACAAAAATCATGTAAACCTAAATCCAGCCAAACTTCCCTTACATTCCATTTTGGCAAAACCCTCACTTGTCATTGCATTTAATCAATAATTTTAATAAATAATGAGGACAAAGAACCCTCGAGAGCAACTTGACATGAGGAAGATAAATCTGATAGATTATAAAAAAAATAAGCAGAGATAGACGTTTTTAATTTATTAAAGCTATAAGACATACTATCCCTCCAGTTAGAGCACTTTTTGCCACTCTCACAACACACATAACGTTGGGATTGTGTAAGTAATCCAAGTTATTCCAACACATTATTTCTATAATCTTGTATAATTTACACACACACACAATAACCCTCAAAAGCAAGCAAAACTGAGGGAATTGGGTTGTGTTCAAGGTCACCAGATAAATGTTTGAATTATTAGCTATGACTTATGCAATTAGTGTCCATCATGTTAGCATTGTAGTTTCAATTATATCAAAGTTTGTTATTGTTTTTCGGTGCATTTTAGAGCTCCGAATCAACATTTCATTTGATCTCCAAACTACAGGCGTTGCAATTTTCTGAAAACCAGCAAACAGCTGTTATAACTAAGGTTGTTAGATATTCTGGCAACGGAATGTTGAAGTCAAAAAACCATGCTGAATCTAAGATGAACTCTGTAAACTTAAACTGAATATTGAGAGGAAAAATGACTTTGAATCAAGTAAAACATAATTCAATAATAAAAGCAGTCATTCAGTTTCAGTCATCAACCTTAATTCGAACGTCAGTATTGTTCTCACTTCATGCAGCGTCATCCATCTTGGAAGAAAGATAAATGTTGGGGCTTTTTAAACTGACAATATATGAGAAACAGAATTAGTAGAGAGTCAGTGTGACAGCCTGTAGAATAATGAGTTTGTCTGACCTGATGACATTTCTGAGTGCAAATCTTGTGGCATTATGCAAATAGGTTGGCTTGTTTCTAAATAAATAAACCTCAGTCTCCAGAGTTTGAGTACATGTGCTTATTTCATAAATAGGTACATTATCCAAGATCATAGGAATACAATGTGTTTTTTACCCAAATCCCTATAAAGTATACTATATATAGTCCTTCTGTGACTAAGAGTATAGAGAATACATGTAGCCAGATACAAAATGTTAAATCATTTCAGATTTCTCTTCACAGACCTCAAGCAGGACCTTTTTGTAATCTATGAGGCTTTAACTTGGCCGGCTATATCAACATGAGACATCAAAACTGAACAGTGCACAGGCAATGGAGGTAGCAGCACATCACTAAATCACAGGACCCGTAAATGCATGGCCTCTCCTTCAGAAAAGAAATGAAAAGTGAACAAGAAACATGAGCGGTGCAAAACATGAACGCATCACATACTCAGGCACACCAAACATCTTTAACCAATCCAAACCAACCTTTGTGCAATAGGAAGACAGACACAAAATGTAGTCTTTAGAACTAGGCGTTTCATGACAGTTTGACAGCGAGGACAACAAACACTTCTGCTCTTCTTTAACTCTCGGAAAAAAGACAAGTCATGAAACAAAGAAACCCTGGTGTGAATCAAACGAGGAATGTCACGCTCATATTGTTTTCATAAAGGCCACTGAGACAGCTGTAATGCCCTGTTGCCAATCTGATATACTTTTTAGAAAAACTCCCCTCTGTTGAAATCACAGGTACAAGTAGAAATGTCTCATTTCTTCCCACATGATGCTACCGCCTCTCTATGATATTGCACTGAATAAAGCCTTTGTGTTAGCAGCCGGCATTACTTCACAGAATGCCTCGATAACAGTGTAGTCTTTTTTTGATTTTCTTAGAGTATGGTCTCTGTTTCCTTGAAGTGGCAACATCAATACTCCACGTAAATGTTGTTGTTTGCTTTGAAAAGAAAGGAACTGAGATGCTTTGTTTTCACAGCTACCCTGCTTGAAAGGAATTGTTTTTACAATAAAGAAAAAAACATGTCATGAAAATCCTAGTTTTTTTTTTTTTTTAAGTCATCCGTTGATTTTAAATACATCACAGTAATATGTTTTTGTGTCTGCAGGCGACCTCTCTTGATTTTGGCACTGCACTGTACATAATTTACGTGATTTGTATCCGTACATGAATAATTCTATCACTTGTTATTTTAAAATAGGCTCTCACAGTCCATCCTCTCTGTCATGTGCTGTTGGATCAGAGTTGATTGTATGGATGCAATAAACAGAGCCCGATATGTACGCTCTCTCTTCTTATTTCACAGGGGAGAGTCTCTTCAGGAGCTTCTTCCCCTTGGAAAGTAGTCCTTTCTTCTTCTTGTTCGCCATATCTTCGTCCCGGGGGTCCCGGGGTTCCAGAGGGAGGCGGGGGCCCCTCGCAGGGCTGATGGGTCTCATGGTCCCTGGGAGGAGGGGCCGAGCGATGGGGGACGGCGCTCGCACAGGCGCGGCGCCGTTGTCGACCGTGTCGGTGGTTTCTGTGGCAACCTGAGGAGAGAGGTGATGGGTGGAGGCATGGGGCGGCGTTTACAAGAGAAGCAACACGTTCACACTGCAGATCTCTCCATCCATCTATCTATCTATCTATCTATACGTCTATCTATCTATCCATACGTCTATCTATTTATCCGTCTATGTTTTTCATCAAACAATTTTAAATAAGTATTTGAGTAGACTAGCCAATGAGCGAAGCGGTTTTGCCAAATTTGTTGGTTGTCAGAATTTATCAAATGTCATTTTATTTTAAATTTGATAGGTTATTTTTCTTAATGGCAGATGTGTCACATGAATGTCCACCACTAACACTTTCTATTACTAAAAGTAGAAGTCACAAGAAGAAAAGGATTATACAGCCTTCTACTTGTGGTAAGAATATGTACAGGCAATATAGTTATGTAGAATTAGATTTTCTTTTTTTAGCTTAAGCTAAGCTTGTAGTTAAAATTGTAGGTATTTATGTTTATATTATCTACCTCAGTGTCTGTAGTTTTAGTGATTCTTATGTTTTATTTGGCTGGCGTCACTTCTGTGATTTACCCTTTGGGATGAGAGTTGTCAATCTATCAAATCATAGTTTCACAATAAATCAATTGTTGATATTCAATTCAAACGCACACACAAACATAAGAAGAAGTAGAGGAAACACTGAGGAAGAGGAAGACGCATCAAACGTTGAGCACAACATCAGCACAGAGCCGGGGGGGGGGGGGTCCACTGTCAGAAGGCCAAGAGGGAACATACAGTACAATCAGAACAACACCCAGGGACACAACTGTAGATACCAGGCTGTTGCTCTAATGCAGCAGCTGCACACTTAGCCCCTGTTAGCATCATCGCTAACAAGATTGTATTTTGATATCTTAGAAACTCAGATTTAGTCTAGATGTCTCAAAATGTGGTCCAAATTGTCGGTGATAAAAAACACTTTTGCTGACAAAGTGATGCTTTTCTGTATCGTGAGGCTATGAGGAAACGTGTACATGTAAAACCATTTTTACATTTCATGTACACTCAAACCAGTATGAATGACACATTTGACTGATTTGACATGCCACTGGAAAAAAAAAGAGGCAATGCAGAAACACTTAACGAGTGCTTCCATAATGTAAAGTGGCATTTCTATAGCCTTAGTGCGATACACCAGCTGTGTGCATTAGAGCCTGAGTTTGGTATCTCAAGTTGCCGACTTACTGTACAAGGCAGACAGAGCCATTTATGGTGTGAAATGAACAATCTTCTTCTGTTTGTTTGTTTAGTTTTGCCAAGCGGGTGAGGAAAAACAAAAAAGAAATCAGATGTGGCAGCATAGTCACAGTCGCTAAAACCCACACCACTATGAAAACTGAAAACTGAAAACACCACCACCACCGACACACAGGAACACAAAGCGCAAAAAAGATTGCTTTTAATATCCAATTTCTTCTTTTATTGTTCCATTGTAACAATACAGTATGGATGTATCAGTGCTGCGATTAGTTTTGTCTCTCGAGCTCAGAGCAAACATGGCATATCCACTGTCAACACGGCTGAAAAATAGATTTGATGTGTGTGCAATATACATAAAGAAACAAAGCCTCTTTTAAGGAAATACAGCAATCGAGCCAAGAAAGGTATTATAAAATGTATCAAGTTTGAAAAAGGCATGCTTTTCTGTCTTTTGTCATCTTTAAAGTATTCCCTCAAATCGTTTATTTCAGTGTCATTGGGTAGCCATTGTTATGTGTTTAATAAAGCACTTATTATTATACACAATAACCACAATTTGATTTTGTGTTTCAGTGCAAAGAGGTACCAAATTATCTTGTGTAAGGAATGAGTCGAGCCTTTTTTCAAGTCCTCCTTAACCGGTGCTACATGCATAAATCACCCAGCGCAGAGCTCCCAGTCTATCCTCCCTCTGTCCATGTCAGGCTTTGCTTCTTCCTTTCTCTGAGGCTCAGAAAGGTGTAAGCACTGGGTTTTTGTCCCCTTTGTCCAAAGGGTGAGGAGGAAGAGGAGGGGGAGGAGGGGGTTAGTTTGTATAGAGTCACCACTGTCACCACATGGACGAACACACACAATGAACAGCACACAGACGGCAAGTGGAGGAAGCGAGAGACGGAAATCAAGAGAGAGGACGGAGGATGGATGAACACAGGGCCTAGCGCTGAGAGCGGCGATGATGGTGTACCCGTTTGCCCTCCGAGACGCTGGCCGCAGGGTTGGGGGGGGGCCGGTTGGCAGGCTCTTCCTGGGGCTGGTGGGACGGGGTGTCGGTCAGATACACCTCCACGTCATCAGGCACTTCTTCCAGGAAGTTCGAGGGAACCAGACCGCGGTGGCCGTTGATCTCACCCTGGGGACGGAAATGAGGAGACACAGGCATTTCATACTAAAGTCATTCAAAGTTTGCTGGACACTATTAACCCTGCCTGTGATCAATCAATGTTTGAACATTTGGACTCACCACATTACTTTTAAAACTGATAAAAGGCTGGTATGTTGAAGATTTCACACTGAGAATGAAAGTAACATAAAACTAAGAGGATTTAAGACCAGAACATCCAGGATTCAGAACAACACATATCCTGAGGTAACATTATAATCCTGCAGCCAATCGTCAGGTTAAATAATTGTGCAGTGGTGCGGATGATTTAAAATGTATTTGAAGCACTTTATCTATTTGGTAATTTTGTGTTTCTGTTCATTTCCCTACAGGTGCTAGTGTTTATCTGTAGTGTTCCTATTTGCTCCATTTAATTTCACCCATTTGTTTTATACTTTCATTAATTTTTACAAGCATGGATATTACTTGATACTCTTTGTCTTAAAAAAAAAAGATTTATATTCTACGTTTCTCTCTCTTTGTTTAAGTAAGCTCACCGAGACAAATTCCAATCAATCATTGATACATCAATATAGCAAAGTATTAGAGAATTAAACCTCCTTCATGTCTGTACTGTATACATATAAAGCTATAGGAAGCAGCCAGTTAGCTTAGCTTCACATAGTGACTGGAAAAACAGCTGGGGCAGCCTTTAATAAGGATGATGACAATTCAGTTTTTGTAGACATTAAAATTAAATAAATATAAAGTGTTGATAAGACAAGAAAACATGACCAAGTCGCACTCACATAATAGAATCCGTCCTCATCAATATCTCCAAACACAGCCATGATGTCACCAGCACAGAAGGTCAGCTCGGCCTATCAGGAGACAGAGAAACAGAAAGTAAGGCGAGTCAAGTCAAATAATTCTTAATCTTTTTTGTTATTTTGTAAAGCACTTCCTTGGATCTGTGTGTGTGTGTATGTGTGTGTGTGTGTGTGTGTGTGTGTGTGTGTGTGTGTGTGTGTGTGTGTGTGTGTGTGTGTGTGTGTGTGTGTGTGTGTGTGTGTGTGTGTGTGTGTGTGGCAGAGAGTGATACCTCCGTATCAACATTAGGGGAGCTCTCTCGGGGGTCGTAGTCGTACAGAGCCACCATCCTCCGGGGGGCCTGATCTCGACGGAGGCCTCTTCTGTGTTGCTCTGGAAGCAAAAACAAACAGTATGATAGTTCATATCATGTCGTCATACACAGTTTAACCCCTCAGTTCCATAACAGGAGCAGATGTGCACGTGTTGAGGGAGTACTCCCGCGTAGTACCTAATCTGTCCACGGGGGTGCTGAGGGGCAGGAAGCCCTGTTTGATGAGCTGGTCCATGGTCTCCTCGTCCTCAGCTCTGATCTCTGACACCATGTTGCAGGGGATCAGCCCCATCCGGCCCCTCACCTCCGCCCTGTAGAACCCATCTGTGTCTTTATCACCGTACACCTGTCAGACAAGAGAGAGGTTAAGAGATCCCTAAACACATACCGGTAGTACTTATTTTATGGTAGTGGATGACAGCCCTGAGTTTATATAAATGTATAATTAGGTGATTTAAAATGTAACTTGTTTGAGCCTAACTCTATCCAGTTTCCTGATTTTGAAAAGCCCTCCTGTCATGAAAGGACATAAACATTACTTTTTGGATATACATTTGCTGACAAAGATAAGTCCCAACTGCTCTAATTTAGGTGAGCATTACCCGATATAAAAAAATCTGATGGGGTGTTGAATACAAAATCAACACAGGCAATGATGGATGTCATTACAGTATACAGTAGTAACATACTTTAGTTTTCAGATAGGGGTACAGTACCTTATACAAAAGACGTTTAGGGTTTTATGCACTTTGCTGCACCACTGACCTACATTCGCCAGTTGCTAACAAATGTATTTCTGTTTGTTGTATTGTTAAAGAAAATTTGAAGAATCAAAGAAGATGCAAATATGTGCATAAGGTTTGATTGTTCATACCCTTGCAACTTAAAAAGCAAACAATTGAGGGATGGAGTCAGATTTAGAGATCTGCATAAAAGTGATGGTATAGAATATACTTTCTGAAGTTACTACACACTAGAATAACCATTGTTACCCAAGATTTAAATATTGAAGGGTTTGTTGTTCCAAACTGCAGCAAATAAGTTCTTCATAGTTTGGATTCACTTTTAAGAGAAAATAAACGCAGAGGAAACAGATGTAGTTAATCAAAGTATCTGTAATCTCCCACCCTAATGATCTGCCCCTCTTTGAAGGGCAGCTCCTCGTCGGCTGCGTCTGGGTTGGGGGACATGGACAGAGGGTCGTAGTCAAAGAGGGCCACGAAGATCCGGAAGGACTCCTCCGGCTCCGACTCATCGTAGTACGTGGGGGAGCGGCGATCCCTGTATCCATCTTTCACACAAAGACAAACAAATTCCATCATCCTGCTTCACCAGAAAGAGCAAACTATGAATGAGATCCAAGACACAAAACTGACTTTTCTAGCAAACATAGTTTTAATCTTTGTGTTCAAATTGTGGTGTTTGGTTACAAATTGAGCTCAGCTAAAAAACTCAAATCAGTTGGTGACAAAACCTTTTTCTGAATGCTAGCATATCCCACCTCTATGACGATGAAGTCCATATGTTTACATATTAAAGTCTCAGCCATGCTACAGTGAAAGAAAATCAATGAGAGCTTTTTTTTGTTTAATACGTCTTATTGATTTGCTGTATTGTTAACAGATTGCGTGTCCCTGTCTAGCCATAACTGTGCTTGTCAGCATGCAGGAAGAAACCTGTGATCAGTCAACAATTTAAAATCATTTACCATAGCACACATGCAACCAGTCACAAACACTCACTTAAACGCAATAAATGTATCTTTACATTTCTGACTTAATGTTGGCATATGCATTGAGAGACAAATGAGGAGCAAGACAAACCATGGTGCAATGCACAGAATGTGATTCATGGACATGATGAAACAACACCAGAATCACACACTAATCCGACATGCACGCTAAAAGAAGCCTAATAAGAAAATGCGCCTAAAGATAAAACTCTATTTTCACTTCATCTGACTTCCCAAACATTGCCAACTCTTTGCAGCAGCAAGAGTTCGACAGCAGTGGAAGCCTGTCATCTAAATTTGCCATGGCTAAATGTGTGTTATACTGTGGAGGCAAGGCTTTATTATAGTCCTTGGAAACACAAGCATGAAATGAAATGCATCGCTCCCAGTCAGGGATATGCCAATCTACTGTACAAAAGGTGTGGTTATTGTATTCATGGGGTACTAAGAAATGTAAAGGGACGACTGCATTTCCAACAACTGGTATTTCAAACTTAAACTTGTCTAAAGGAAACAAGAAAGCAGTGAATGTGTGGTCAAATGTATTCACCCATGCATAAATGCTCTGTCTAGAAGTGTAATCAAAGGGGAGGGGTTTAGCAGGCATCTGTTCAGTGCAGTGAGTGAGGCATTCTCTGAGCAGTCAATGAATCATTTATCAGCTTAAACTGTGGAGACATTCACCCCAGACCCCAGGTTTGGCTTTCCAACGGGTCCACCATTTCAGTGCAGTGCAGTCATGCTGTTCAACTGTAAGCATAATAATAACTATTATTATTTGAGACAGAGAAACAGGCACTTGCAAGTGTCCACAGCTACTTCTCGCTGTATTGCCAGTTGCTTCGTGGCATTTTTGTCGCCATGCTTTTGGTGGTAAAGAACAGGACTGCAAGCACATACCCTGGGGAGACCTGGTGCCGCCCGTTTGCCTGCGGGACGACCGCGTCTTGTGCCGAGCTACTCTGCCATAAACATCCTCGGTGGCGGGGTTTCCCTCACTGTTATTCTCAGAGGTTACCTCTACAGGAAACACCAATTAAGAGGGTGATGGGGTTACAGTGCAACACTCCATAGATTTGTGTTGCCACATGCTATTGCTTGGACATTAGGGTAAACAAATACACACAAAAAGCTTATAAACTAAGACAAACTATTTATGAAAAACTGTGTCCGCTGAGTAGATGACAGCATCAGTGTCAGCTTGTTGCATCTAAACTATTTCTGCAAGAGCAAAAACTAATGTTGAGGGAGAGGAGGGCATGAGCATGGTTTATAAACACAGAGGTGATCTGGAGACACAGAGAAGCTCATGATGGTTTTAGCAGGGCAACAAACACTTCAGTTCTATGGCACAGAAAACATTACAATTATAAAATGTAAATGAAAGCTCCCCTCTGCTCTGTGTAGCTCCCACCCTTACTGACCAATGGAGGGGACCATCAGAGGCCGCCTCTGAGGCTGCGGCCCCCCGTGAGGAACTCTTCTCCCCTCTCGGTCATGGCGGCCTCCAGGAGTGTTGTTCTGAAATGCACATAAACACAGACAACATTCGCAAACATTAAACATTCTTGAGCTGCCCGCACACACACACACACACACACACGGACATACTCGCAGTGTGTGAGAAAAAACGCACGTCGGACATACTTCTACACAAATTGTATGTAAACAAAATCATGCAGCACTCACAGGCAGGCACACTGAAACACAGACGCAAAGACACACACTCAGACACACACAAGCCCACGGGAAATACCAACATCACAAAATTAAGAAATTACTGATAACATACTACTGAATATAAAAAAAAAGTGGTATAAAAAGATGTGGGTCGGCACTGTTTTCCGTATGTTACTGTGTAGCCTCCCTCCACAGCGCTACACTGCTCAAACCCGGAGTCTCTGTCCAGGGGGCTGAACACATTCACACCCACAGCATCTTCTTTTATTTCCATGGAGCTGAATCACTCAAGCTCGTATTCTTTCTATCTTTTTTTTTTTTCTCTATGGGTAAGCTGCTCTCATTTGTAATGTGTGGCAGCCGGATGCAACACTGCAGCAGCTCAACGTTGCCTCCCATCATTCTAGACAATAGGTTGCTTACTACCAAGTATAATCTCATTCCATAAAAAGGGGCTACAGCTTAAATGAAGAATTTAGGAATATAGCACATTTGGCTGACTAATATCCCAAACATCGGTTCAGACGGGATCGTCACAGAAGATGGTGCTGCAGTACTATTTCTCTTCACGGATATGTTTATCATGCTGTCTGAAAGCATTTAAACCACAGGCTGTATGTAAGATGATCATTAGAGCTCCTCAAAAGTGAAGCCAAAACATCTCGTGTGGGACAAAACAAAAAGTACAAATAAAAGAGAAAATTCAAAAAATAATGGTTTCACTTGTTGTAATTGGTTCTTACCACGCTGATGTATGTTCGAGTGTTGGTGAGTGGGTGATGCTTTAAAAGTGTGAGGCGTCACGATTGACAGCTGTGATTGACAGCTGCTCTGAGTGAAGCAGTCACTGAGCCGAAGGCTCTGGGAGAAGGCGATGTAACTTTAGCTTTCCATAACCACCGCAGGTCTGCGTAAAAGAACATTCATATTTTTGAGGATTAACTGGTTAGTTGTGTCTTTCTAGCCAATCAGCTGCTGTGTTGCTAAAGTAGCAGGTAGGTTGCTCGTGCTTCGGGACCTCGATACCACGACTCAAACCTCCCTCTGCAAAGAGTCTGGGTACCGATGACGTTAAGAGCTAAATATGGAAGCTCCCATATCTGGGATATTTTGGCTTCACTTCTGTACAGGGGGATGAAGGGGAGACGCGTCACCCAGCGATTTAAACAGTTTAGGATTAAAACCCAGTCTGTCTCTCTCCATGGTGCTGAAACTCTGTTTTTTTTAGCTCTCTTCCTATAAATTTGAATTAAACTCAGCACACACACTAACATCACATTTTAAATGCATGTCAAGGCAGCAGTCTCAATTGAAGCATCTGTGCCTGTGCAGTTCACTAGATTAAATTTGGGTGCTTATGAGTCTTGGGTTTAGAATAAGTGCAAAGAACTGCACCTTGGGTGTGTTGTGCGAGTTGCGTCGACGTCCCTCTTCCAGCTGCATCTCAGAGTACAGCTCCTCCTCATCCTCTTCCATGATGTCAGACAGGTCAGAGCCCCGGCTGCTCTCGCTGTGATACTCTTCATTGTGACTATAGTGAGGCTTTTGGCAGTCGCACACACAAACACAAACACACAGACGCAATTGTTTAAGTCCACATACATACAAACATACATACATGCACACACCAAACACACATGGAAGAACAAACACACACACACAGGAACAAACAGAGACACAGGCAGAGGAGTGTAAGCATGCAACCACCCAGACATGCATGCACACACACGTCCAAACACACACACGTGGAAGAGGTTGTCCATTGAAACACACACACTGGGACAAAAGGAGGTAGAAGAGTCATCACTTATCATGTCCTTCTTACCGGCCTCCCAAGCTCCGAGCCTCTGAGGAACTCATCGACTGAGGGTCCTCTTCGGCGGCCGCGTGAAAACCCTTCTTCATCCTCCTCTTCCTCGTCAGAGTGATGCTGGTGAAACGTACGACCCTGCTCTCCGTATCTGACCTGCCTCCTGTCGCCCTGGAAACAAGCATGAGACGTGAGGTAAGTGAGATACCAGTGGTACTTCATTATTGGATGTTGTTGCATTTCAAATGTATCTTCAGATTTTAAGTAGTTTGCAAAAATATAACAGTGAGCCAAAACAAATCACCGCCCATGGCCTGAGAAAGCTGTTTCCATTTAACAGCAAACAGAACAATACCATCTGTTTCCTGATTTTTTTTTGGCAAGAAACAGAATCATGGAACCATCTTTAATCACTGCTGCTTCAATTGAGACGTTTATACAGAGGTTATGAGCAGTGATGGAGACTGCGAGGCTCCTCAGCTCTGATCGTTGTTTTATTATGGAGCAGTGGAAACATACAAATGATATTAGACACCCTAGAAGGATGGTGAGGAACATTACTTTTTGCAGGTTATCTTTCTCATGCACTACTCTCAGGATAGTGTCAGTGTAAGCAAATATGACAAACGTATACTTTACTTTTAATGCAAAAACATATTGTTTTATATAAAACATTCAGTGATGATAACAAATTTTGACTGTGTCATATCATCTGTGTGATGGATGTATTGTTTTCATCAAACCTTGCCACTCTCTGCTGCCACCCTCTGCGCTGCTTCTCGGGCGATGGCTTTGGCCACGGTGTCCGGGATGAGCGTGCCTCTGGGCTGAGGGAGAATCCTCTGGGGGGAGGGGGAGCGTAGATTAGCAGAGGGAGGGGCCTCGAGAGTGTGGCCTTGCATGGGCCCAGGAGGCTGGGAGGAGGGCGAGCGAGAGGGGTCCCAGCCAGGCTGGCCCGCTGGGAAGGCCCCCCCTTGGTGGGCCGCGTGCTCTTTGGCATCCAGGTCTCTGGCACATACTGGTCTCTGAGGTATAGGGTGGTGATGAGGGTGGGGTAGCAGAGGCAGTTGGTGCTGGGGCCTGGGACCTTGGTGAGGGAGGCGGGGCTGAAGGTGCAGGGGCTGAGGATGTGGGGGGCGAAGCTGGGGCTGCTGGGGTCCGCCTGGGTGGGGGTGCCTGGGATGGGGTTGAGGGTGAATTTGGAGTTGTTGTCCTTGCGCCTGGGGTGGAGCAGGAAGTTGGGGTGGTGGGTGAGGATGGTGAGGGGATGGGAGGTGGGGTTGAGGGTTGGGTTGAGGATGGGGTTGAGGGTGGGGCTGAGGGTGGTTGAGGGTGGGGGTTGAGGGTGGGGCTGAGGGGTGGGCTTGAGGGGGGCTGAGGGTGGGGGTGTGGGGGCCTGCGTGGGGGTGCATTGGGGGCGGAAGGGGGATCGCAGGTGCAGGCACAAGGAGATTATTTGGAATGACGGCGATTTGGGAGTCCTGGGATTCCCCCTGCACGGACAGCGTCCTGACGATCACTTCCCTCGCCTCCAGGCACTGAATCCTCGTCAGCTCCACAGTGACGTAGTCTGCCATGGGGAACAGCACCTCAGCTATCTGCATTCAAATAGAGGAAAACAAATGTCAAGATGAACAGAAGCTCCATATTTTCTTTCAACAAAACTTGTTTTTCAATCCTTACATTCCAAAGAACAACAACGGTTAGTTTACTCTGTGTTTTAGCAAACCCCCTCATCATTTATCATTTGTTCTATGTAAAGCACATAATAAGGTTGAAAGTGTGCCTTTAAAATGTAACCAGACTGTGATGATTAACTTTGGCAGTCACCAGAGGGAGTGGGAGAGCTTTCCAAGGCATTGGCAGGGCCCAGATTGAAAGTCATGCACTGATCATGACTCACAGGTAGGGGGCACTGCTGTGTGCATTGAGGGCTCTGATGACATAACGCTAAACTCAACAACAGAGGGTAATACCACCTCATCTACAATGTATGTTCTCACGTTTCAACATTATCTAATATGGCTAAACACCTTACAGAGTGTATTACATACTGTATCTCTGTTCCTCATATAGGCCTTTGAAATATGGATCCCATATGCCTGGGAAGTCTGAACAATCCCTCCCCAAATGCCTGCTACTGTACACAGTATTGCCCTTTTCACAATCACTCACAAAGTAGGCAAAACAAACCCTTTCAAACTCACCCTCTGTCCTTTAGTGCAGACTGCGTAACCCACCACATTGGCCCCATTAGATGTGCCAGTGGGGGAGAGGATGGGGGGCTTCCAGCGTACCTGTAGGACCCCTGGAGCCTGCCCACAAAGCACCTGCACATCAAGGGGAGGCTGGGGGGGGCCTGGGAGGTGAGAGGACAGTTACGATTGATATCATAGTTTAGAGTTTTAACAGCACATATATAAACAAGGTGAAGCATTCATCAAATGCACAAGTTGGGACAAACAATCATGCCACAAACATGGGAGAGGGCCTGAGGGGGTGAGGTGGGGTGAGGATTCACAAAACAACAAACAGGGTTCATTTATAATTTGTCCTGCATTCTTAAATCTGTGAAAGAAGTTACATAACGCATTATCTTTACTTGTGATAATGTGACATTACTAGTGAGGGATATTAAACAGTTGTTTTGTGCTGTGATTATTACATTTCATTTAAAGTATTTGATCATTTGGTATGATAGCAATACACTAACATTGTTCTAACCAAAGATACAGCTTTATTAAACTGAGGAGTGGAGGGAAATCTTCATATTGTGCAACATCAAATATGAACACCTCTTGTATAGTACCGAAAACTACTCTTCATGCGGTAAAAAAGATGAAGGTAAAATTAAACAATGTGTGCTTGTGGTTCTCCTGAGAGAAGCGCTGTCTTCTCCGCATGCAGGACACGATCCAGGGAGACTTACTACAGCTCATTCTTTGTCTTCCACTCTCCTGGATCACTGGAGAAAACATGCACAACTGCATTCAAGCAGAGGCAAATGCACACTCATACAAAATGGTCATTTCAGCGAGCAGCGGAGGGAAACTGCTTTATATAGCACTGGTTACTACAGGCTAGGCTATAGGCTGAGGAAATGACTCATCAGAATAATAGCTGATCATATCGTGGGATGCCTGGCTGCTCTCTAATTACCGATATGCTCAGTGCAGTAAGCAAACTTGGGCAAAATTGCATTTGGTTTGAAAACAGAACGTGTTTTGAAATGTTGAATAAATGCGTTATTGGCAACATGGTTTGTAAATAAAAAAATCTTTCTGTATATATGCGATTTTGCCAAGATCCCTTAATTGATTGCTCATATTGATCAATATGTCAAAAGCATTCACAGCATAATGACCAGAGCTGTCTTCCAAAAGTATCCTAGCACTAATGTCCACTCCCATTAGTTGGCAATGGGAGAACATCTGTTAGTGCTCAGATATTTGGGAAACCCAGCCCAGAACTGATGTTTGATTCTGACCTGTTCTGCAATATGGTGTTGGACCTAGACAAAATACAATACACATCAGCAGCAGAGTAAGGCATTGCTGTACTGTACTCTTCCACAGCACAGAGACATTACCATTTCAGGCTGGTATTATAGTAAACTGAAATAAACAGAGTACTAGCAGCCTGTCTTCTCCATCTGTCTCAAAGATCATTTAAAACATGTAAAAAACAAACATAAAACACGACTGACAATCATCTGCTATGGATATAGGCATATATTATTGATAGTGTGTCTCTATGTGTAGAAAAGAGCTGACCTGCCGCCTGAGTGCAGAACTCCACACCGGCTTCTTTCCTCTCTCTCTGCTCCAGCGGCAGTTGCCATGGCACCTGGTGCGGCTGTGCCACCACCGACACTTTGTAAACTGTCAGGGGCTTCAGATTGATGAAGCGTAGTCTGTACCTTCCCGGCTTTACCACCGCATGCTCCGCCCCGTCCAAGAACACGGTGTGGCCATAGTTACTGTTGCTCGGCAACCAGGAGAGCTCGGCGGTGTCGCGCTGGATGTCGTCCACCCGGAGGCCGCAGGGAGCCACCACCACGTTGGCCCCCACCAGCAGGGTGCAGCGCAGCTCGTCTGAGAGCCCACGCTCCGTGGCGCTCTGCACGGACACACGGTGCACGCAGTCGTCCAGGTCCAGCTTCTCCAGCAGACTCTTGGTGCGGCCGCCGTACGCCACGCTGGCCCGGAGCTCCCCGTCCACCAACACGTTGTAGCCGGAGATGTTCCCCCAGCCTAAAGGCACGAGTGAAGGCTCCCAGCCCACAATGACGCTCCGTGCCAGCTGCTTGATCAGGTTGATCTTTCGGGGATAAGGCACAACGTCTTCCGCCAGGTCCTCAGGGTCCAGGGGCCCCCCTGTCCCATTGCTATAGGGAACCAAGGCGTTACATGAGCCCAGAGGGCCATCTTGGGAGAAACCTCCATCAAAAGCCACTAAGGCCAGGGACATATGGTCCCGTGAGCCGCGCTCCTCCCCTCCATCGCCGGCTTGAATCGCTAGTTTCTCCTTGTCCTGGACAAATTCCACAAAGTTGGAAGGAACGAGTCCTCGCTGGCCATCTAGCAGCTCCCCTGTGACGCAGAAAGATAAAGAGAGGAAGGTGTAGGAGATACATGACTCAACATTGTTCCCTGTTATTCTGGTCCATATAAATTAACAAAAGGTCTAATGCCAACTGCTTGAAAATGCTAGGAAAGCTTAACGGTCCCTCTGTGATGCCTCGTGCAAAGTTCATTAACTCTGCAGTAAAGCACCTAATTCTAAAAAAAGTATATTTTAATTTTTTTACTTTATTCTTCTACTTCTCCACATTTCAGAAATAATATTGTACTAAATATCACTAAAAGCTTTAGTTACTTTTTAGAATAAGATTGTACAAGCAAAGCATACTATCAAATTATAAAATACGATAAAACATTATGTAGTTCAAATGTGTTCCATCAAGACCATCTGTACTGTATACTGAATAGATTTAAGATAAAGTAAAAATAGGAATTCACTCGTAGTTTATAACAAGACAAAAGGCAAAAGAAAGCTGGAACTTGGATACACTTCATCATCAGTGAGAGCTGTTTTCCTTGCGGGCCGGGAATGAGTCAGTGAGTGAGAGGTGGGAGATATGTAAACATACAGTAGGTATTCTCTATGTACTTTTCTCTAAGATGTAACATTTACCACAGCTTCTCTGATCTTTGGCACCCTCTCCAGTAAACACCAAACTGAGAAAACATTTCAACATTTCAAAGGTCTTGAACTTTAGTTTGCCGCTTTTGAACATTTCGAGGAACACCCCTGAGCATTTGGATGCTGCGGTCAATGCAGAAAAAAAAACATCTTAGATTTGTAGTTTTTTTCCAGGGGAAGAAGTTTAAAAAAGCTCCTCATCATCTTGTCTTCAATCCTTTTTTCCACAGTGGCCTGTGAGACCTTAAGCCCATCTGTGTGTGTATTTGTGTGTAAGTGAGGGAGTGTGTTGTTTGTGTGCACTGATGATTAAACCGAGCCCCGCTGGATTAGTCATCAAGCTAAAAGGGACCAAGGTCTCATCTTGACGACAGCTTGGTCCGAAGCCCGAGTCTCCCTCCTGCGTGGCTCCTCCACGATGCCATGCAATCTCTCTGCCCACAGCGGATGAATCACTGCAGCTGACTGCCACTGTGTCTGTAGCGGGACGCGCTGTCTGCACGATGCTAGTCAGGGGGATTAGGACTGCCTCTGATGGAGAGGCCTTCATCATTCTGAAGAGATTAGCCCAAGAATCTGAAACTCCATTTTCTTTTCTAATTTATTTATCGATTCCACAAGCTGCAAAACTCACTTGTTCTTAAAGAAGTTAAAACCTCATCACCCATAGCAACAATGAAGCGTGCAGTATAAGTGTTGCTCATTGAGAAAAGATGTTCAGAGGGCATTTAGACGATAAATGCAAATCTGTAAACAGAACAAATTGACTGTGGAATAACTAACAAAGGTCTTGGCATTCATTTTCAGTGTTGGATAATGAATGTGTTGATTCACACGCTTGTTGTGACTGTCAGGCATTCTCTTCAGCAGCAGCAGTAGACAGAGGACACCTCTTGCTCTTCTGGAATCTTTCAACTTTAAGATGCCATAATTTGCCGTTTCTGTCTAGGCTTCACTTTCCAGTTAGAACTGATCAATATTTTCCATGTCATCTTGGAGTATTGTTTTTCTTCTCACCTTGATAGAAACCATCGTCATCCATGTTTCCGTACACGTACAGATACTTCCCAGCCACAAGGGGGAGTTCTGCTTCAGGATGCTCGTTTGGTCCATCGTAAGGATTATAGCTAAAAGGAGAATTTCAGAGTTTTATCATCAGCTTTTTTTTAAATCATTTCCAAATAAAGAAGCAGTTTGTCAGTTAACGATCATATTATTATACAATGTTAAGATTATATGCAAAACAATTGTTCCTGAAAGCTGAGGTCATTCACCTGTATCGGGCAGTGCAAAGGCGGACCTGGCCTGTGTAACGAGGCTTGGACCTGGGTGAGGGGCTGGCCTCATCCTCCATCTACAGATCCAGAACCAAAGATGAATATTATTCACACATATAAACACTATTCATAGGAAAGATAAGATAAGAGCAAGCAATGACAGCCATTACGTTTGAATAGATGACTTTGTAACTGGGTTAATGTTGAGAACATGGAAAACTAGCATGATGAGTGACTCAAGCATTAATGAGATGATGCAGTCACACAGTCCCACCTCGGAGGGGGTCCGCTGTCGGGGGCTGCTGGGGCGGTCCGTTGTCACGGTGTTGTGTTTGACAGACAGCAGGTCCTGTCTGTCTCTGTCTCCAGTCTGTGGTTGGCGGGGTAAGAACCGGGAGATCAGGAGCGGCGGGTCTGAGGCGCTCTCATTGCCTGGGAGACATTGATTTCCATAGCAAATAAAGAGCAACTGTCATTCCTTCTGCACCCATTTGCTGCTCATTGTACAGCTATTGATCTCCTGTTGAAACGAGTGTACAGCATACACTCTTCATGGCAGAGGCTTTCCCACCCCCATCAACACCTCACATCTGCAACGCGTTTGTCCTTAAATACCACTGAGGTCCACGGGGGAAAACACACACACACACACACACACACACACACACACACACACACACACACACACACACACACACACACACACACACACACACACACACACACANATGGTCTGGTAGTGATACTAGGGGTGCACCGAATGGGAAATTCTTGGCCGAAACCGATACCGAAAATAGGAAACAGTTGGCCGAAAGGCCGAAATCATTTTCGGCCTTTCGGCCAACTGTTTCCTATTTTCGGTATCGGTTTCGGCCAAGAATTTCCCATTCGGTGCACCCCTAGTATCACTACCAGACCATGAAGTGGGTTGGGTACAGAGCCGCTGTTAGAAAGCAGAAAATGGACACCTCGTATAAATCATAAATACTGATGGCAGGAACTACATTTGTGGGAGACATAATGGAAGTTTTAATGTCTCCTTCCTTGGATCAACATATGGGAAAAGTGACAGTAGTTTAATGGTGTTTTGAATATGTTTATTTAAGCTTTCGTTTTGCTTTCTGTTTCGTTCCTCTCACAGCTGCAGTCTACTCATTAACACAGGGATGTTACTCTCCATTTCAAGATAGTTTCAGCAAATTGAAACCAGAGGCTTTCACATTCTCCAAACCAAATACAGCACCTTATCAAGGTTGAGGTTTTTCTAATTATTCTCGCTGTGAATATCCTACTGACAAACTGCAGGATGCTCTTGGAGTTGAATTCTATCTGGAAAGTTTCCAGCACCTCGTTGAATCCCTGCCACAAGGAAATTGGCCTGTTTTGGAAACACACCCCGTAGCATTGTGTCTGTGTGAGTGCAGATTAGTGAATCATTGCATTTTAAACATTGATTAGAGGCAGTTTGCGTCTCATATCACTTTCAAACTTAAATAACTGCTCTATGACCCTGTCCTGTGACATTTGACAATAATAGCAGAGATCTTTGCTTTATAAACACAAAGTCTTGGTGTTTGTTGAACCTCCAGGACTATCTGGTCCATTCACATTATTCATAATAAGTGTTCTCTCCCACCAGACTCTTATGTGAGTCTGAATCAGACATCTGATTAACTTATTCCCAGTTGTCCCCAGGGCAAATAGGAATAAATAACCCTGCTAATTCTCAGTCTGCCAGCAGCCTGCAACACATCAGTCTGTCTGACTCGGCTTGTTAGACACGACATGAATGAACACACATATACCTTTTTGAATGGCTTTGTGAATACTTGATTCTGATTAGTCTATTTCGACATGGAGTGTTATTTATTTGAAGCCGATCTTCAAGATATTATGTTATTTTGTTTGTGATTTCCAGGAACTTAAAACTGTCACTGTCTCGTCCTCAGCCCCCCTGAATGAGAGCAGGGTTTCTTTCTTTGCCTCTTTTTTGCTTAAATCAACGATCGTAATCTTGGCTTTGCTTGTCTGTGCAGCACTCTGCAAGATTGTTGATTTACTCTCTGATATGAATGATCTTGTTTTTAATCCGGCTGAGTATGGTTGTGTATCTGCAGACAGAAACAGAAAATAATTTATCATATTGTTTGTGGTTATGGACAAACTGTGTGAACAGAAGGGTGCTGAGCCTGTAGCCCTGGGGTGCGCCAATATTCAATAATAGAGTGGAGTAGTTTTGACTCTATACCAGAACAACTTGGGGTGTGTTTGTGAGGAAGTCCAAAATCAAGCCCAGAATGATATCTTCTCTGCCCGTCTAATTGGGGGATTTTGCTGAATGCTTAGTGGACGTACAACATTCTAATGTAGATGTTGTGTTTGCAGCTGTACAACTCTTGTTGATATTAAAAGAGTTGGAAAAACATGTAAAATGTCTTCTCCAGTCAAACAACTCACATATCACCTTAGTTAGTAAATAAGACATGTTGCTAGCCTAAGAGTGTATGATAGTAGTGACTAAAATTCACCCTTTGCACTGGCTTGTTTATGTATTGTTTTATGCGTTTACCGCAGGGCAACAGTGAAATCGGGCCTGTCATTCAGTGCGGCGCGGCCCAGTGACTCAGCACTTTGGGACATCATAGTGGAGCCCGGCAGAGGAGCGACTCCCAACACTGTCTCCGTCGTCTGCCAGAGGAAAGTTGCTGTCACCGCAAAGAGGTCAGTCATGTTCTTTCTGCTTACAATAAAAAAACAATCTTCATCTTTTGTGATTTGTTATTGTCTTTTGTTCTCTTTATTTTCTAAGATTTCAATAAACCTCTCTGCTACTATAAAAGAAAATCAATTTGTTTTCAAGGAAGAAACATATTCAGCGCTTACAGGAAAATTAATCATTGGTAGCCTCAGACTGCATCATTAAAGAAAAAGCAATACAATAATTACTTCCACTGCAAAATGTAAAATTGAAGATATAGGATTTCAAGTTCAAGTCAAATACATACAATTGTGTTTATCTAAGTCTGTTTCAATGATGAAGCACACGTTTATAGTTCCAGAAATCATTTGAACAAAGAGTTCTAGAAAAGAAATACCCTTTTCAATTGGTTTCAAACCATTTATGTGGTCCTCCTTTAAAGACTAACTGACAACATCCCCAGACACATTATTTTTCGATAAAATATAATAATGATCCTGCAGAAACAAAACATTGTGAAACAGCAATGGAAGAAATACATGTAAAACATCATATACTGTATACAGTTGTGATAAAACATTTTTTTTTTAAATTCCTATTAGTGTTTAGTTTTATTTATTAATTCAGCAATGCTTATTATCTTACCTTACATACGTTTACTTTATAACCTTAAAAACTGAATTCTTGTTTTATTTTAACTATGTTGAATCACCAGTTTTACTTTCCAAATGGCTTTTAGTTGATGGAAATGAAGTGTAAATGAGAAGTGTAAACAGTGTAAACCGTGGCAGAAAATAAATCAGTTGAAGTGCTTTTACTTAAATGAATATTAATTTCACTGCCCTTTCACTGCCTGATTTACATGACACACACCAGTTGATTACAGCAGTTTTGCCAGATGCTGCTAGTGACACACACCCACAGTCACCTCTGCCCAGCAACCCTCCGCCCACACAGACACAAAGCACCCGCCGTCCGCCCGACCCACTTATCCGTAATCGTCCATAATCACGGCTACGTTATCCGGGCTTAAGCGCTTGCACGTTCAGAAGGGGAGATTAGGAAGGAGAGATATTTCAAGTCGTGTGTCCCTAGTTCTGAACACACACACACACACACACACACACACACACACACACACACACACACACACACACACACACACACACACTTATGTTTTTATGCTAAGCTAACTTTGCTCACTGTTGGTGGTATTTTCATACTAACGCATACAAACTTACGAAGATCAGTAGTACATTTCTCACATTGTTCTCGCTGAAAAATCTAATAAACATATTTTTTCAAAATGTNAACACACACACACACACACACACACACACACACACACACACATCCTTTAAAAAATAATCTCAGTCTTCGTAAAACATTTTAAGAAAATACTTTTTAGTGTGGAGTTCAGTATGTATACTTTAAGGTTAATTTGTTTCACACACACATGACCTTGAGTTGTAGAGGAACACAGTCAGATTAGACATTAACATGCTTAAATTCCATTATCTCAAAAATAATCACTTATTTCTAGTAATATCCCACTGGACATTTGGCATATAGAATCAATAACCCTTTATGGAGGTTGTTAAAAAAATTGTTTGACACTTCGTAGAATACGTTCATTTCTTTTTTTGGCAATGCGTAAGATGAGAGAATGACTCCCACATTGATATAATGTGTGTATATTAATTGTGAAGCTATGGCCAACAGTTGGTTAGCTTAGCAATAGCTTAGCATACAGAATAGAAGCAGCTAGCCTTGCTTTTCTCTAAGATAAAAGAAAACTGCCTACAAACTGACGATTTGTAGCTCTACAGATCAAGCTCTTCCCGTTATTTGTAGTTTTTATGCTAAGCTAACTTTGCTCACTGTTGGTGGTATTTTCATACTAACGCATACAAACTTACGAAGATCAGTAGTACATTTCTCACATTGTTCTCGCTGAAAAATCTAATAAACATATTTTTTCAAAATGTAAAACTTTCCTTTTTAGAAGCAGGATACTGGCCATAGCTGCTTTAGTTTAATTTGGTAACTTTTTACACTGTATAATGGCACAAGACTTGCTTCATCTCTGATGTGCTCCCTGGTTTCCATTTCCTGCTTGTGAGGTCTTTGAAATGACTCAGCGGAAGTTTTCTCTTTTCTGCCAAGCTTCAACATAGTGTAAGTGTAAATATTTATATATGTACATGCAGAGTTGGGTGTGGTATATTACTATATAATATTACTTTTGTCGGTAACGGAGTAGTGTAACGCGTTACTTTTATAATTCAGTAATCACACTACAGTTTCTAACATTGCCACGACACGCGTTACTTCGTTACTTTTATAAAATAATCACACTCACTGACAGACAAGAGGGGTTTCCGCCGCCGCAGGTTTGTATACATGTAGGCCTACGTAATCTGCGCGATTTGCCCGTCCACATCTCCACGTGCAGTGCTGCATAAACATGCTGAGTCTTTTCATCTGTAAACTTCCTCAACAGGGCCGCCCGCTCTCTTTTCTTGATTGCCCTCTCACGGGTGAACAGTTCAATGTCCCACTTCATTGTAGGAATTCTGCCATGTCTCTACCACTTTAGTTTGACCATCTCTGTTACTAAGTTATGGAAAACTAAATAAATAAGTAATTAGATACCTTACCGTTACTGCGCTCATAAAGAATGATAAGAATAAGAATAATGCGTCTTGAACTGGTTTCATTAATTAGTGTCTTTACGTTTCACAGACTGTTAGCTTGTTGTGGTAGGCTGGTAGCCTATTTTATNAAACCAGCTCGAGTGCGCTATAATTGGAAAGTACGCAGCCAAAAAAAATCTGTCCCTTCCTTCAGACTTCCTCACAGAGCCCCTCCTCCAACACACACGAA